ACCTGGTGTGCCCAGGTTCACCTGGTTAAGAACTGGCACAACTGGGATTTGAACCCAGATCTGGCTACTCTAAGTCTCAGATGCTTAAATATCACATGTCTTCCTTTACAATATCAGATTCCCTTAGGGCCTCTACACTTGATTTTTAATAACAAATTATTTCAAATTAAAAGATATTCCTTATAATGCAAAAAACACAAACAAAAAGATCCACTAGAACTAAGAAATTAACCGAGCGAGGTAAAGGAATTCAAAGTCAATATACAACAGTAGTTGTATTTCTATAAACTAGCAGTCAACAATTGAGAAAATAAAATGTTAAATGCCATTTACAACGTCACAAAAACTAAAATACGCTGGGATAAAATTAATAAAAGATGCCTAAGACACTGAAATCTCTAAAACATTGCTGCAGGAAATTAAAGAAAACAGAAACAAATAGAGATATATACCACGTTCACGGGTTGGAAGACTCACTGCTAATAAGATGTCCATTCTCTCAAACTGATCTATGTAGACTTCATACAATCTTCACCAAAATCCTAGCAGGCCTTTTTCAGAAATCAAGAAGCTGGTTTTTTTGTTTTGTTTTTTTTTTGTTTGTTTTTGAGGCAGGGTCTCACTCTGTTGCCCAGGTTGAAGAAGCTGATTTTAAAACGGAAATGACTCAGAATAATCCGGTGTTGAACAAGAAGAGCAAAGTTGAAGAATTTACTCTGATTTTATGGCAATGTAAAGGTACAGTAACCAAGGCAGCATGACATTGGCATAAAGATAGAGAAACTGACCGATAGAAAAGATATTCTATTATGAAAACAAATAAATAAATATGGAAGTTAAGTTCTTTCACGCTTATCTCTGCAAGGAACATGGATCACAGGTCCAGAGAATGTGACACCAGGTACTTACTGCTCAGTCCTCCACCTGGCAAAATCACATAGCCCCCGTGTTCAGAGTCAATTGGACTAAAATTAGCTTAAGTCATAAGCTTTGAGCAGAAGAAAGAAAACTGGATCCAGAAAGCAGAAGCTTGGGTTTTTGACCCAACTGTCATAATACATAAAGTCTCAACTTTTCAGCATGTAACAATAATAATAAAAGCACTAACACATGCCAAACCCTGCTCTAAGAGCTTTACGTGGATCAGGGCCTCATTTAATTCTCTCAACAAAATAGAATAAAAGAGAAAATAGCAAGCATTGTACCTAGGAAGGAAAATCTTTTTTGCGTTGGCTTGTTTCAGTTTTACATTTTTAAAGATGTGTATAGGTACACAATTACAGTGTAAAGTACATATTTTTTTTGCATTCACTTCCCAGAGAAGGAATAAAATACATATCTTATAGTGGGGTTGCAATTATGACAGTTTAAAAGCCAGTAGGATAGTAGATGAGAGGGTTATGAGGAAGCCCAAGTAATACAATGCCCATAAGACCCTTAGCCAGAGCCTGGTGCATAGTAAAGGCACATTAACTAGTAGCCAGGCAAGTTATTACCATGGTCGAGACCAGCTTTGTGGATGCTGGAACTATGTAGTCTTGCAGGACACAGCACTCAGAAGAGCCCTGCACCTGGGTTAACGCTCTGTTGTCCCCATCTTAAAATTCTTAATAATTTAAAGGAAAAGATCTACATTTTCATTTTGCACTGGGTCTCATAAATTATGTAGCATGTCCCATTTTGTATCAGGGTTTACATGTATTAAAATATTTATAATACAAAATATTTAATGATCAGTTATTATCAAATTGCATCTCTGCTTCTTATTAGCTAGATGACCTTGAGTGAGGTACTTGCATGCTCTCCATCTCAGTTTCCTCATCTGTAAAACAGGAGTCGTAACTACTTCTGCATGAGGTTGTTGTGTGAAGCTTTAAATAACACCACAGGCCAGGCACGGTGGCTCACCCCTGTAATCTCAGCATTTTGGAAGGCCAAAGCAGGCAGAACACCTGAGGTCAGGAGTTCGAGACTAGCCTGGCCAAAATGGTGAAACCCCGTTTCTATTAAAAATACAAAAATATGCGGCCGGGCGCGGTGGCTCACGCTTGTAATCCCAGCACTTTGGGAGGCCGAGGCGGGTGGATCACGAGGTCAAGAGATCGAGACCATCCTGGTCAACATGGTGAAACCCCGTCTCTACTAAAAATACAAAAAATCAGCTGGGCATGGTGGCACGTGCCTGTAATCCCAGCTACTCAGGAGGCTGAGGCAGGAGAATTGCCTGAACCCAGGAGGCGGAGGTTGCGGTGAGCCGAGATCGCGCCATTGCACTCCAGCCTGGGTAACAAGAGCGAAACTCCGTCTCCAAAAAAAAAAAAAAAAAAAAAAAAAAATAAAAAAATATTAGCCGGGCATGGTGACACGTGCTTGTAGTCCCAGCTACTCAGGAGGCTGAGGTAGGAGAATCGCTTGAACCTGGGAGGCGGAGGTGGCAGTGAGCCAAGATCGGGCCACTGCACTCCAGCCTAGGCAATAAGAGTGAAACTCCATCTCAAAAAATAAATAAATAAATAATACAACATAACTCAAGTGCTAGGAATGATGCCTGGGACTTAGCACCCCAAAAATGTCAACTATAATTATTATTTCCTGCTTTTTTTTTTTTTTTTTGACACGGTGTCTCATTCTGTTGCGCAGCCTGGAGTGCAGTAATGTGATCATGCCTCTCTGCAGCCTCGACCTCCTGGGCTTAAGCGATCGTCCCATCTCAGCCTCTCAAGTAGTTGAGACTACAGGCATGTGCCACAACATCCAGCTAATTTTTGTATTTTTCTTTTTTGTAGAGATGGGGTTTCACCATGTTGCCCAGGCTGGTCTAGAACTCCTGGGCTCAAGCAATCCGACCACCTCAGCCTTACGGTTATTATTTTTATTAGCTTTATGGAAAAAAAGTCAACTTCGGGCTTGGTTCTTCCAGTGCACATTTTGGGGAAGGGATTATTAAAGTCATCAGTGGTTCTGGAACTTATCTGAGCAAGAGATGACTTGGAGAATCTGAGACTATGTGAGAAAACGCCTCCCAGAAAAACACAGTCTTGCACATATGAGCACATCATGCCTGAAGTTTCAGGGCATTTATGGGTCTCTCAGGCCAAAGCAGGGGCCCCAGGACCAAGAACCTCAGAAAACAGCAAGCACCATGGAATCTAGGAGGCCTGGAGTCCATGAGTGTCTCAGTGGGAACAGCCAGCCAGCCACGCAACAAGCGCATTACTCTTTCAGGGCTGGGGTGTGTGCGTGTGCTTTAAGTCAGCAGCTGTTTTTAGCTTTGCTATATATGGCCAGGGGAGGAATGAGGGCTATGGGAGGGGGAGGGGTGCCAAGCAGCTTACAACAGGGTTTGGGAGGCCAGAGCTCCTGCACCAGCCCCACCTTCCCCTTCCAAGGCGAGAGCTGAAGAGCTTATCCTCAGACCAGAGAAAAAGCCTAGAACACAAGGAGGGGTCTGCGGAGGTGGGAATATCAGGGGCTTCCAAGATGCCAAGTCAAGTCACCTTAGTGACCACGACTTGCAGTTAGAAATACATTTTACATCGCAAAGCACACATAAATGCAGACACTTTTAAATACACACACACTCTCACACATTGTGGTGTATGTGTATATATATATATACATATATATCCCCAGCTGAACAAATATTTCCAAAAATAATACTTTATTTTATTCTGTGAACTACTCTGATACTTCTATTCTATTCTTTCCTCCTGATCCATTGAACTGATTTCACCATCCACTAATGAGCTGACATCTCCAGTTTGGAAAACTGCTGTTTCCTTGGTAGCATTTGACTGCAAGAAAAGGGGAGCAGTGAAGAAGAATTCTGAACTTTTGAGGATAAGTTGCAAGTTTCAGCTTTGTCTCCTAGCTGGATGGGAAGTTTTGGACCTCCGAGCTATTGCATGCTGTCCTCTGGTCCTGGAGTCTTCCTCCGTCCTTGTCACCTGGCTCACTCCTGCACGTACCTCAGGGCTCAGCTTGCAAATGACTTCAGAAAGCCTCCCTGAATGCCTGCGTCTGCGCGGCTGCCCGCTCTGGTTCTGTTACTCCCCTGACTGTCCCTACCTGGCACCCGACACAGTACTGCAGGACAATTTCCTGTTAGATTTGCTGTGGAGGCAGGGAGCGTTTCTCTTCTGCTTATTTCTATACCACTGGTGTAGCTTCACCATAGTCACTAAATAAATATCTATTGGATGGATTAATAATAGGTAATAGTGGCCAGGTGCAATGGTGCATGCCTTTAATCCCAGCACTTTGGGAGGCTGAGGTGGGCAGATCACAAGATCAAGAGATCAAGACCATCCTGGCCAACATGGTGAAACGCTGTCTCTACTAAAATACAAAAATTAGCCTGGTGTGATAGCACGCGCCTATAGTCCCAGCTACATGGGACACTGAGGCAAAAGAATCATTTGAACGTGGGAGGTGGAGGGTGCAATGAGCCGAGATTGCACCACTGCACTCTAACCTGGTGACAGAGTGAGACTTTGTCTCGAAAAAAAAAAAAAAAAAAAAAAAAAAAAATATATATATATATATATATATAGGTAATAGTAATAATAGCAACAACCATTTACTGAGTACTCATTTATCCCATGAGAAGACTTTTGAGAGACCGGGATAGGTCAATTTTATAGATAAGGGACTTAGTGAGTTTAAACAACGTGGCAGGGCCAGGGGAACGACCCAGGGCTGTCTGACTCCCAGACGTTCCTAATCATAGGATCTTATTTGTCCACATTCCCCGCTGCAGCGATACCCAGGTTGGGGGAAAGGGTGAGGGCAGATCCTTAACAAATCCTCTGGGGACTGATGACAGGTTGATTAAAGAGATTTTCCGAAGTGGTGGCCACATCTAATTTTGGAGAGTTACACCTCGTGTGTGGCTTGGGAAAGAGAACCTGTGAGGTTGCCAGGGCCCCTGGATGTGGGGTCGTCTCATTTGGGAGAAGTCCCAGCCTCTGACAAACCAAGACAGCAGGACTTCTGGTCACCTGGCCTGAAGAGCACTTGGGCACAAGTGGGATAAACCCAGGGCCCTCAGAGCCTGTGTGATCCGGCCCAGCCCCACGACTGTTGCAATCCTCACTCACTCTGGCATTCTTGCTGTTCCTGAAACATGCCAAGCCCAGCCCTGCCTCAGGGCCTTTGCAACGGGATTCCCTCTGCCTGAGGGGACCTACTTCCTCTCTAGGCTTCTGAGACCACTCCATCCAAGAACACCATCCTCTTCCACCTCTGTCAGTTTTTTCCATAACATTTGTAACTTCTAGAGATTACATGTATGTTTGTTTTCTGGTTTATGTCCATCTTCTCCACTGGACAGGGAGCTCCTTGAGGACCTTGTCTTGGTCACTGCCCCAGCCCTAGAACTTGTTGTGAAGCAGTGCCTGGAATAGACCAGGTGCTTAGTAATATTGGTTGCATGAATGAATGAATGAATGAATAGGCTTTCTCCTTTTAGACATATTGGGAGATGAACCTGTGGTTTCCTATGCTCACTTTGACCCAGAAATTTGTGTCCTGTGACTCACATCCAGACCCCCAACACACACACACACAGACACACAGAGACATGCACATAGAGACACACATGCACACAGGCACACATACACACACCTTGGTTTGAAGAGAAGGGGGACCGGAAGGAACATTCTACGCATGCCTACAGTGCACCACTGTGCATAGGTAACTGACGCCGTGTAAGTACGCAAGGATTATCTCCATTTTATAGCCAGAGAAACTGAGGCTTGCTCTCTGCTCTGTCCCCAATGCATAGCGCTGTGCCTGCATGAAACATCTGGCGAATCAAATTGTACTAGATTCAAGAGGCTCAGAAAACGCCCAAGGTCACCCAGCTAGCAAGTGGCGGAGCCAGAATCTGTGCTCAGGGCTGTTCAATTCCCAACCTGCTGGGTAGCAGCCAAAGGCACCTGCAGAAACTCCAGGGACCTCGTTACCATCCAGACATGGTCTCAAGGGCAGGCCCTCACCCAAACACCCACCAGCTGGCAGCCCAGATGCAAATCTGTCCTGCACCTGAGGCTGCTGTCAACGTGCCCAAGGGCCTCAGCTTCAGCAAACCTTGCTCCCTGGGCTGGCTGAGGCCTTTTCCTGCTCCAGCTGTTCTGGTCCCAGTCCCGCTCCCACACTTCCTATCCCCTGTCAAAAAGAGGAGACACTAGTGATGAATACGATATTCTGCGAATGCCTTCTGATGTCAAATGTCACTTGTAAAAATTAGCCAGTTTTGAGTTATCTGTGTGGGTTCCTCTTTCCAATGCAGCTCATTAGGAAGACTCTGTAGAATTACCCTGCGTCAGAAAGAGTTTGAATGACCATTCAAAGCCGCAGCCAGCAGACTTTCACTGTAAAGAGTCAGGTAGGGCTGGGCATGATGGCTCACACCTGTAATCCCAGCACTTTGGGTGGCCAAGGCAGGTGGATCACTTGAGGTCAGGAGTTCAAGATCAGCCTGGCCAACATGGCAAAATCCCATCTCTACCAAATTTTTTTTTTTTTAATTAGCTGGGTGTAGCGGCAGGTACCTGTAGTACCAGCTACTTGGGAGGCTGAGATGGGAGAATCACTTGAACCTGGGACGCAGAGGCTGCAGTGAGCCAAGATTGTGCCACTGCACTCCAGCCTGGGCTACAGAGTGAGACCCTGTCTCAAAAAAAAAAAAAAAAAAAAAAAAAAAAAAGCCAGATAGTAAATGCTTTAGGTTTTGCAGGACAAGAAGCAAAATTGAGGATGATATATGGGGGCTTTCAAATAATTAAATAATTTCACGTGTCAAAAAAATACTGTTGTTTTATTTTTCTTCCAAACATTTAAAAATGTAACATCACTCTCAGCTTATAAGCTGTGCAGAACTTACGGCGGGCCAGTTTGCCCCATGACCCATGGTTTGCTAGGCCCTAATTTAAATCAATACTTTTTAAACTCTAATATGTATAAAAGTTGCCTGATACACCTGTGAAAGCAGTGTTTGGGCTCACACTCAGAGATTCTGATGAGCAGGTCTGGGTGGGCCACTGAACTTGCATTTCTAACTGATGGATTGATGGTGCTGATGCTTCCTGTCCACTGACCACATTTTGAGCAGTACTGATATTCTAAAGTGCCCATTTCATAGATGAGGAAACCGTGGCCCAGCTAAGTGATACGTCCAGTTTTACATCCCTTGGACTAGGTAATGACGTCTGCTCTGCCACTCCACAGGCCTGTTCTGCCACAGAAAACTCCTCTCCATTTCTTCAGCCACTACTACTCTCGTGCTTCTGAGCTATGTCCTCTCTCCTCTCTGCCCCACGCCCACCCTCACAAGTGTAACTTTCCTATAGAGATCAAGCTCCGGCGTCAGCTCCACTAAGGTATTTCCTGACCTCCTCAAATCGAAATGCTCCTTTCTGCCCCAGCATTCTATACGTACTTGTGTCTAATATGTATAACTGTTTGTCTGCATGCCTTTGTTTTTTGGTTTTTCAAAAAAACAAATGATGAATGTTTAGGTGGAAAGATGAACGAGTAGGTGGGTAGATGGATGGATGGGCAGGTAGGTGGGTGGGTGGGTGGATGGATGGATGGATGGACAGTGGGTGGATTGGTGTGCGGATAGATGATGAATGGATAGATGGATGGGTGGATGGTAGATGGGTTGGTGGATGAATGAATACTCCTCATGATCTATTGCTTGAAAATAATTTTCATGGCAAGGTTGAGACTGGACCCCAATTCTGCTAGAGTCTATTCCATGGCTATCTATGATGGGACAGGCTGAATATGTAAACGGCAGTAGTTACATTTTATTGAGTGTTGGGCCGGGCGCAGTGGCTGACACCTATAATCCCAGCACTTTGGGAGGCCGAGATGGGTGGATCACGAGGTCAAGAGATCAAGACCATCCTGGTCAACATGGTGAAACCCCGTCTCTACTAAAAATACAAAAATTAGCTGGGCATGGTGGTGCATGCCTGTAATCCCAGCTACTCGGGAGGCTGAGGCAGGAGAACTGCTTGAACCCAGGAGGCGGAGGTTGCAGTGAGCCGAGATCGCGCCATTGCACTCCAGCCTGGGTAACAAAGAGCGAAACTCCGTCTCAAAAAAAAAAAAAAAAAACAAAAACATTTTATTGAGTGTGTGCTGAGTGTGCATTTCCATGGCCAGCTTTGTACTAAGCAGTCCTGCCAATCCTCTTACCAACCCCTTTATCAGCTCCACCTTTACTGCAAGAAAATGGATGCTCAGAAAGGTGGAGCAGCTTGCCCAAAGCCACACAGCACAGCACATCCTAGCCCATCTGATTCTGTGCCAACTGCCCGTCACCTTCCCACCCTCCCCACCAGTGTTCCTCACCCTCCATGGCCCGCCCCAGCTCTGCAGGCCCCCAGCTGGCCTCACCTCCATCAGCATAGGTCTCGGTGCCATAGCCATCTTGAAGGCCATTGTTCCAAGTGCCCTCATACTTGGCACCGCTGCTTGAGCTCTGCCGGATTCCGTAGCGTCCCTTGAAGCCATGTGTCCACTCACCCTTGTAGAGCCAGCGCCCCTTGGTCTCTATGCCCAGCCCATGCCGTTTGCCCTGGCTCCAGTATCCCTCAAAGGTGTTTCCGCTGGGCCAGGTGTAGACACCTGCCACTTCAAAGCCAAAGTTCCAGGAGCCAGAGTATTCGCCCTGGCCCTTGGGGCCTGTGCACAGTCCGTGCCCATGGGCCTTTCCCCCCTCCCAGCCCCCGCAGTACGCCCCACCATCATCAAAGTCGAAGCGGCCCCCGCTCATCTCATCGTAGCCCCTGACAACCTCCGTGTCCTCCAGCGTGGGTGCAGAGGGTGTGGGTGATGCCGGCGACACTCCTCCAGTGCCCTCGGGGCCAGGCCCCCAGACTCACCACTGTGCCCCAGGAGGGGGAAAGCAGGAGGCCAGCAGAGGCTGAAAGAGCCCAGGCGCCAAGTCAGTACTGGGTCGGCTAGTCAGTGCCATGCCCAGGAGCCTCGACTCCACCGGCCAGAGCAAGGCTGCCTGCTGGGAAGAAAGCAGGAAGGAAAGGTTCAAAGTTCCCACAAAGAGTCCCAAGTCTGTCTTCCAAGAAGTCCAAGGGAAAACGGTGTGATCTCTTTAAGAAGCCCAGTGAATGGGTGCGGGGGAAGGGTCCCCAGTCTTTTCAAAGAGGGGAAATTCCCCTCGTTGACAGCCCCCGCGTGAGGCTGAATTCCCGCAGCCCGCTGGCCCCCTTCTCCACCCCAGTGGGTGTGCGGGGCTGCTGGTCTCCCCGCCGCTGCCCCGCCCCCTTCTCCAATCCTGCCCTCCTCCTGGGACGGAAAGGTCAGTGTTGCCCTAACAAGGCCATTGGATCTCAGAAGCTGCTCCCAAAATAACCCCAGCCAGCCCAGCCTCCTTCAAAGCGGGAAGGAGGGGTATTTCAAATCGTGCCGTGCGGCAGACCCAGCAGTGGCTGGAGGGCTGAGGAAGGAGGCTGAGAATTGAGTGCAGGCAGCCCAGGGACCTTGGTGTCTTTTCCTGCTGGGAGTGACAGCTCCCTTCCATTCTCAGAGTGCCCTGGGTCTGCGGGCAGGGAGGGCGCCGGGGAATCGGGGAAGGGAGGGGAGAGGGAGACCGGAACGCCCAGTCCTGGAACACTGAAAATCCCCCAGAGCGAGGAGGTTGGCAGGTCTCAGCCCCACCACCACTCACATGCCCTAAGGGGACCTGGGGTTACAGCACCACTGCCAACCCCATCAAGGAATCCAGTGACCTAAAGAGAAAGGAATGGAGACAGTTTCACATGTGCTCCGGAAAGCAGAGGAGAGAAGTCAGAAAGAGAGGTGAGGCTGTGGAAACAGTCTGAAAGATACACGAAATCTGAGTCCAGGGCTCACACACCACCCAGAACTCCCTCTACCCCAGGAACCCTGGGAGAACCCAGGGAGAACTCAGTGCAAGAAGCAATCATCTATTCCCTTTCTCTTTCCCCCGGAAGGGCAAGCAGCCTGCCCTCCTCTCTGCCTGAGACACAGACTGGACATCCTCTGGCTTCCTCTCCCCACCCCTTGATGCCCCTGCGCCCTCCCCGCCGCAGACCCAGCAGACCCTGAGGGTCAAAGGAGTTCCCTTCCTGTCAACCCAGGGTTGTGTTGTAATGTGGTGCTCTCAGAAATTCTCAAGGGTCATGATTTTTTTAAATGTCCCTTTCTGAGCTGTCTTTTGCTCTAGTGTCCTAGGAGCCTGTGAGGCCAGACTTCAGAAAGCTCTTGGGGCAGGGGCAGGAGCAAAGGGCCTGAGTGGATTTCCAGCCACTCAGGTTCCCACCAAATTCCAGTAAAAAGAACAAATAAATCTCCACAGCAGGAAGCTGTGGCCAGAGCTAGTGATGGTAAAGCCCAGCTAAGCCCAGGGTTAATGCGAGTCTAGAGGAATTCTGGGAAAGGTAAGAGCCACCAAGACTATGAAGGTCTGTGTGTGTCTGTGTGTGTGTGAACGTGTACGAGTGTGTGTGAAAGTGTATGTATGTGTGTTTGTGTGTGTTGTGAGAGTGCATGCAACTATGTGTGAGAGTGAGTGGGTGTGCTGTGAGTGTGTGGTGTGTGTGTGAAGGTGTGTGTGAGAGTGGAAAAGTGTATGTGTGTATGTGTGTGGTGAGAGTGTGTATGTGTGTGTGTTTGTGTGATTGTGAGTGTATGTGTTGTGAGGGTATGTGGTGAGAGTGTATGTGTGTATGTTTATGTGTGTGTGTGAGGGTGTTTGTGTGTGGTGAGAGTACGTGTGTGTGGTGTGTGTTTGTATGAGTGTGTGTTTGTGTATGTGGGTGAGAGTGTGTGTGTGTGTGAAGACAGGGACCGAAGGGAAAGAGAGAACTAAGCACAGCACCTACTAGAGAACATTAGACAATTATCTGACTTTAAACTTGTCTCACATATTTCCAAACCCCATGATAACTTAGGCCACATAGTCACTGTGGAAGTCTTGTTCTTGTTCGGGAAGCGGGTAAAAAATGTTCCCTCCTTTCCTCCCAGTGGGTTTACCTGTTCTTAGGACTTCGTTTCATCCTGGGTCACAGCCCTTGACTGTGCTTAAAAAGAGCCCCTTCTGTACTTGTGTTTCACCACCAGGTAGAAGCAGCCAGCCTCTCGGGCTCACGGTCACCGTCCGTTCGCCAAGTTGACAGGGAGCAAGTCGTGGATAAAGACTGTGTCTCCTGGGTGGTCAGACATGAGCCCTGGCCAGGTTGACTGGCAGCCTGCTTGCACAATTCACTTCTAAGAACACCTCAGGGCTACTCCCAGGGAGTTCAGCTTTTGCCACTTCTCACTGAGGTCTTCTGAGAATCAAACTTCTTTCTAGCTCTGCTCTCAAGGAAAGAGGGAAGAGCATCTGAAACTGGAAGCTAGGGGAGTTTGAGCTGCGGATTCAATGCTGTAATCATATGCTTGGGCCAGGTGGCCACTGCTACATGAATTTAACCACTGTTCATCCATAGCAGCTCCAGAGGGTGACTCTGCCCAGGGTTACTACACATAAGAATCAACTATAGAACTTAAAAACATAAAGAGATCCCAGAGCCCCACCCCAGACCTACCGAATTAGATTGTCCTGGGCGAAGACTTGGGCAGCTGAATTCTTTTAAAAGCTTCCCAGATGAATCTGATTTTCATCTCTGGTTAAAAACACCGTAGGTGCCGGGTATGGTGGCTCACACCTGTAATTTCAGCACTTTGGGAGGCCAAGCCTGAAGGATTGCTTGAGCCCAAGAGTTTGAGACCAGCCTGGAAAACAGTTAGACCTCACCTCTACAATTAAAAAAAATTAAAAAATTATCCAGATGTGGTGATGCATACCTGTGGTCCCAGCTACATGGGAAACTGAGGCAGGGGGATTGCTTCAGTCAAGGAGTTGCAGGGTGCAATGAGCCGTATTTATGCCACTGTGCTCCAACCTGGGCAACCCTGTCTCAAAAAAAAAAGTAGAAAACGACAAGAACAACAACAAAAACTACTATAAGTTTTCAAATTAGAAACTGTTTAATAACATAAAAATTCATGAATCCATTTACCGCAGGATGAGTAGTTTTGGAGTTAGACACGTGTTCAAATCCCAGTCCTGCCCCTCACAAGCTGTGTGACCTCGGACCAATTGTTAATTTCTCTAAACTGCAAAATCTTCATCTGTAAAAGTCCCTACCTCAAAGGACTATTGGTATCAAGGATAACAGTATCTACCTTATATGGCTGGGTGAGAATTACAGAGTTAATACTGTGAAAAGGTTCAGGACACGCTACACACATAATTAGTGTTAGCTCTTATTAGTATTACTCTCACATACTAAATTACTTTTCAGGCTTAATAAAATAGTCATCAAAGAGGGAAGAGAGAACCCCTCCTAAATATTAAATATCTTGACATCAAAGCACTCTTTATTCTTCCCAATTCAGGTTTATTCTACATTACTCTGTGGTTTCTCATTTTTTAAACTGCAAAACTAAGTTACTGGTAAAGGGATACTTTGACTTTGTAAAAGTTTAAGTAAAATTCTTTGCCAAATTTGGTACTGGCCTCACCTGCCCAGAGCTTTCTGACAAGCTACCATTTGTCCCGCCTTTTAAACTAGTGCATTTCAGGGAAAGGGAGACCTCTTGTGGTGCTATATGAATTACAATAGCTTTTCCTCAGAAAATCCAAGTTCTTCAAATCCAGTGGAATTTAAACTTGAAATATTAGTTGGGCAAGGTGGCGCATGCCTGTGGTCCCAGCTACTCTGGAGGCTGAGGCAGGAGGATTGCTTGAGCCTGGGAGGTCAAGGCTGCAGTGAGTCGTGATCGCACCACTGCACTGTAGCCTGGGTGATGGAGCAAAACCCTCTCTCAAAAAAAAAATTAATTAAAAACTAAATAGGCCAGGTGTGGTGGCTCACGCCTGTAATCCTAGCACTTTGAGAGGCCAGGGTGGGCAGATCACCTGAGGTCAGGGGTTCGAGACCAGCCTGGCCAACATGGCAAAGCCCCGTCTCTACTAAAAATACAAAAAGTAGCCGGGTGTGGTGGTGGGCACCTGTAAGCCCAGCTACTCTGGATACTGAGGCCGGAGAATCACTGGAACCCAGGAGGCAGAGACTGCAGTGAGCCAAGATTGTGCCACTGCACTCCAGCCTTGGCGACAGAGTGTGACTCCGTCTCAAAAATAAATAAATAACAATAAATAAATAAATTTGAAAGAATTGTAAACTGGTTTTAAAGGTAGCTATGCTATTCTCTTTCTCTTCTTCCCAGATCTCTTCCCACTCCTTGGTTCTGTTCCCTGGTCACTTTCTCCCTCTATTTCCTGCCCTACTTCTCAAGCTTGACTGCTTCTCTGGGAGCCTTAAACGGAGAGAACTGAAAATCCATAACGAAGAGAAGGACTATGCCCAGAAATCCACTGGAATTCTCAGCCATGAAGGCTCAGCAGAGCGAGGCTCGCCTGCCCAGGAAGCTTTTCCAGGCAGGTTTCCCTGCTGGGCTAATCCCCTTCCCAAATGCTGGCTCCTCCCCCAAACTATGAGTTGTTTAAAGCAAGAATTTTCTTCTTTCCAAAAAAAATAGTGGATAGTCCTGCAGTGAACATACATGTGCATATATTTTCATAACAGAATGATTTATATTCCTTTGGATATATACTCAGTAATGAGAATATTTCTGGTTTTAGATCTTTGAGGAATCGTCATACTATCTTCCACAATGGTTGAACAAATTTACATTCCCACTGAAAGTATAAAAGCATTCCTATTTCTCCAGAGCCTTACCAGCATCTTTTGTTTCTTGACTTTTGTAATTGCCATTCTAACTGGTGTGAGGTGGTATCTCATTGTGGTTTTGATTTGCTTTTCTCTAATGATCAGTCAATCAACCCAAATGCCCATCAGTGATAGACTGGATAAAGAAAATGTGGTACATATACACCCTGGAATACTACGCAGCCATAAAAGGGAATGAGAGCATGCCCTTCGGAGGGACATGGATGGAGCTGGAAGCCATTATTCTCAGCAAACTAACACAGGAACAGAAAATAAACATGTTCTCACTTATAAGTGGGAGCTGAACAATGGAAACACATGGACACAGAAAGGGAAACAATGGGACCTGTGGGCAAGGTGGGGGGCAGGAAGAGAGAGTACCGGGATAAATAGCTAATGCATACAGGGTTCAATTGCCTTAATACCTAGGTGATGGGTTGATAGGTGCAGCAAACCACCATGACACACTCTTACCTATGTAACAAACCCGCATGTCCTGAACATGTACCCCGGAACTTATTGAATTATTAAAAAGCCTGAGCACCTACTGTACAGTAGACATTGCAGCTCATCTGTGTCTACCCAGTGCCTGCACATAGTGGGTGCTCCTGGTCCTCCCAGAGTCTAGCAGCTGATGACCCCCTTCTGAAATCCATTTTTTTTTTTTTTTTTTTTTTTTTGAGATGGAGCCTCACTCTGTTGCTCAGGCTAGAGTACAATGTTTTGCTATTATGGCCAGTCTGGTCTTGGACTCCTGACCTCAGGCAATCCACCCGCCTCGGCCTCCAAACGTGCTGGGATTACAGGCATGAGCCGGCATGCCCAACCGAGACTTAACCTTTTGAAAGAGCACTGGCTCCTATGTGCAGACTAAGGGAAGGCAAGGAGGACAGTTAGGAGGCCACTGCAGTGAGCCAGGCAGTGGGTTTGGTGGGTTGGGCACGTGGCAGGTACAGGAGATAAGATGTGTTCTGAAATTATTTTAATCTAAATCCCTTCAGAGATTTGCTGATGGACTGGATTTAGGGTATGAGAGAAAGACAGGAATTAAGGTTGACTCCAAAGGTTTTAATAAGTTTGGAGTCAGCTGAAGGGACAAATTTGCAAGTGGAAATTGAGAGTTTTGGCCAATTTGTTCTTATCAAATCTGAGATGTTCATGAGATATTTAGAAATGTTGCGTAGGTGGCTCGATGTCTGACTGAAGACCAGGAGAGAGGTGCGGGCTGGAGATGCAGACTTAGAAGTCACCAGGAGAGGCAGGTTATGCAAAGCCATGTGACTACAGACCTCAGAAATGAATGTAGATAAAGAAGCCAGAGAACAAAGGTCTGGGACACTCCCAAGTTACAGAACTCAGATGGATGGGGAGGAACCAGTAAGTGAGGGATTCTAGAAGTCAATCGAAAAAAGATTTCAGGGCTGGGCACAGTGGCTTATGCCTGTAATTCCAGCACTTTGGGAGGCTGAGGCAGGCGGGTGGATCACGAGGTCAGGAGATTGAAACCATCCTGGCTAACACAGTGAAACCCTGTCTCTACTAAAAATAAAAAAAAATTAGCCAGGCATGGTACGTGCCTGTAGTCCCAGCTACTTGGGAGGCTGAGGCAGGAGACTTGCTTGAACCTGGGAGGCAGAAATTGTAATAAGCCAAGATGGCACCACTGCACTCTAGCCTGAGCGACAGAGGGAGGCTCCGTCTCAAAAAAAAAAAAAAAACTATTTCAGAAGGGGTCATCAGCTGC